GGCAGCAAGAAGTTCTGCCATCTCAGAAGACGCAAAATAACAACCATAAATTGAATTCCTGGTTGTTTACAGAAATGCACAATACAGCTGTGAGATTCTCATTTAGCTTGAGAGCGGCAATATTTCAGCAGAAGTCGCGAGTTTTCCAATCCTGCACGGTTCCGCGGGAAAATTCCCTGGGTGGAATTCAAGTTCAAGATCTTTAAAGAAAATTTAAAGCTGCAATATTTTTGAAAAAAGTGAAATTGTTCCAATCGGGAAAAGCTCCGTGAAGATTTCACACAGGCAAGATTTGCGTTGAGATTGCAAGAAAAAGCCACGATAATTTTTTTCTCTAAAATAAATGCAAACAAATTAGGTGGATGAAGCACAAATATTTGAAGGCCCACCTTCAATGAACAATTGACTAAAATATTCATGACTGTGAGCATATTTTAAAATTTAATTATATTTGTGTGGATATTTCATGCCTGCAGGCAAACGTGGAATAGGCCCTATATGTTGACTCGGCAAGCTGCGACACAGACCTTCCTGCCACACTTTTGCAGCCACAAGATTTGCACCAGGTAAATTTCACCCATTAAATCATTATGAACAAAAAATTCAAAGCTGAAATATTTTAGAAAAGAGACAGACTTTTCCAATCCTGCAGAACTCCGTGTAGATTTCAGACGGGCAAAATTCAAGTTGAAGATTGTCAACAAATTTTTGAGCCATTTTCTTAGTGCATGATCAAGCCATGCTCATAAAAGAATTCAAATTAGGCTAATTCAAAAATATGTTGCTTTGCAGCTATAAAACTCAGTATGAGGGCTAGGCCAGAATTTTCTGCATAGAATGAATAGATAAATTAAGAATAACGTGGATCTAAAATAAAAAAAATTAACTCAACAATATCACCTCTGCACTATTTTTTTACATCACGATTGTTCNTTTGCGGGCGATTCAGGAAGAGCTGTGACGTGCGTTGGGTTTCATTTTGTAGGTGATGATGTGGAGAATCTTTATAAAGCAACGCCAAGCCGCTGCGATGCTTGGTTTGGACGTGACGATCATTTTGCCGACGATCAATTTGAGGCCAAAATTCGACATTTTGACGGTTGATATCTCGGAGCACGGGGGTCGCAGAGGAAAACAAAAAAAAACGCTTTTTGCGCACGCTTTGGGAGAATGCGCGTGCCAAGTTTGAGCCCGATCGTGATCGTTTTGGCCGAGTTATTAAGAAAGTTGTTGAAATTTTGTGAATTTCTCAAGATTGATGGAAATTTTCCAATTAAAAATTCGCACCCTAAAACCTATAGCATCGGGATGAGACTGGTACCAAAATGTTGGGCACAAACTAGAGAACACGTGGGTGGAGTTTGATCAAGATCATTAGTCTCTAAAGGGGGGCTTTGAGGGCAAAAGTGTATTTTTGAAAAGAAAGGGCGGAAATTTTGTGCGCGCGTTTTGCGGGGAAAAAAACAGGAAAGCGACATTTTTGCGGGTCGTGACGTGTGTGGTTTTGCAGCAAATTTACAGGCAAATAAAGTGGTGAAAGTCTGAGCTTGATCGGAGCACGCGTTGTCGAGCTGTGACATGAAGAGTAAAATTATCTTGGATTTTGGAAAAAGAAAAAAATGAAAAAAGTCCCCCCTTAAAGGAAAATTTTGGAGACGAGTTTTGCAGGATAATGCAGCCCATGGATGAGAGAATGCTCATGCAAAGTTTGGGGAAAAGTTATAGCTCGGTGTGGGAGATATTGAGCGTGGAAAAAAATTTCCTCTGAAAAAGGGTGAAAAAACACCTATTTTTGTGAAAAAAGCATAGAAAACGACATTTTATCGAAAAGTCACACGAGCAAAAATAGTTTGGAAATTCAATTTCGACTTATAGTGGTGAAACTTCCAGCGAGATTGGAGCAGAGGTTTGCGCTGTGGGATTGCGAGAGTGAAAACTTTACCTCGCTCTACAATCGCACGTACTGTGAGTAGAATAATGACAGCTCGTGCAAAGCACAATACGCGTAGAGGCGCGGGGTAAAACCGGGGGGCTTTGCGCCCCCCAAATCAGAGGTTTTCCGTCATTGGCAATGAATCAAACTTCGCCTATTCAGTACTTAAACAAGGATTTTTGCACTAGTTGATGCAGTGTTGCACCAGAATTTGATGTGATTATAGAATTAACGAAGGAATTGCCGAGGTTAATCTTGTATATCAAGTTTCTCTTACGACTGTTAAACACAGAAAACTTTTCACTTTTCACAGATAGCCTTCAGTACATACTAGTAATGGGATAATTCACGTGGCGTGAGTTTTCACGTAGAACGTAGTGAATGTTTCGGAGTCTACAAAACGACAGAATAGTTAGATTTAAAATATTGAATACTAGAATCTTGCGTGACTATTTGTCTTTGATCTAAACTTAAAATATTTAAATTCCTAACTTGGGTTAAGCCGTCACTGTCAGGGTCGGTCAGAAGTCCGGCCTCCCGGTCTGATTCAGAGCGCTGGTATCAGTGCAGACCAAGACCCAGCGCCCTTCAGCAGGAGCGATAAGTTTCCCCAGTCTTAAAATTGCACCATGTTAAATATTTACTATTTACTGTGTTTAATTTGCTTCTAAATCTATTGGTTATTAGAACTTTTGAACTTAAAACAAATTTATGATATAAAATCTGTCCCGATAATTATAAATGAAAGATCTTTGAAAGCAAGGTTGAAATATTCATCCTTTTTACTGAAATCTTGCGGCTCAATGCCAATCATAAACTTTTATTAACAGTTAAATAGGTTATAATTCATTAAGCACTAGCAGTCAAGCAGAAATTTTGTGGCTCCAAAACATGTCAGGAAAGCTCCAGTGCTTGAATGCCTTGCATTTCTATAGAATTTTAAAGCACATACAATGTTTACCTCATTACCTGATTATGATTTTAAAGTATAGACAGGCTGAGTGTAGGCTAGTTATTGCATTGCATCTATGCATCCTAAGGCTGATTTGGCACCACACCAACACATAGGAAGATATAGGTTTTGAGGAATTTTCCCGCGCGAAATGGGCTTCCTAAAATCAATTGACCATAGCAGGACCGTGTAGAGCGGGCGTCGTCAGTTGATAGTGAATGCTGCCAGTCACAAATAGGCGAACATACATGGTCGCTAGGCAAGAAGATACGATCGCACGGCCGCTGTTGCTGGTAGCAGCAGGCGTTGAACTGTATTTAAATGTATTTATATTCACTAATACACTTACATTCATGAACTGGAGATTGAAGAGGCAGTGATTCCAGCACCCTGAAACAATCCGGAAGGCCGAGACTTCTGACCGACACAAGTTAGGAATTTAAATAATTTAATTTTAGATTGAATTTAATTTTAGATTAATTTAGACTCCATTGACTACAGAAGTTAAGTTTTTGACTCCATTGACTGTAGAAAATTGACTACGTGAAAACTCTCACGTGTTCGTGAATTTCCCTCTACAAGTATGTAAATGTAACGAAGTCTGTGTGTGAAAAATTTCTGTGATTTATCGCCATAAGAGAAAGTTAATATAGAAGTATGACCTCGGCAATCCATTCCTTAATTCCATAGTATAGTATAGTATAGTATCTTCGGCATTAAAGAATAGGCCTGTCGCCGATTCTTGTACTTTTCTTGACTAGACTGGCCTTTTGATCAGATCTTTTCAACGGACGGTAGATTAAAAATCGCTTCTAGATATCAGTTGTTCCGTAGGGTACGAGGCATTTTCACACTAAACATATGCTCATGCATGGCCTTGTCTAGTCTGTTCTTGAACGCGTTCATACTCGGAGCGTCAACAATATCATCAGGAAGGCTGTTCCACATGTCAGTGACTCGAAGCGAGAAGAAATGTTGTCGCGTGGATAAGTTGCACCGCAGTTTTTTTAGTTTATAGCCGTGGCCCCTGGTGTTGGTTCTTGTTTCAAATTATAGTAATCCTTCTGGGACCTTGTACAAACCATGAGTATACATGTATACTTCAATGAGGTCACCACGCAGGCGACGATAACGGAGACTGGGAAGCTTCATAAACTTCAATCTTTCTTCATAAGACTTGCCCTTTAATCCTGGGATTATCCTTGTTGCACGTCTTTGAACACTCTCAACTAAATTTCTGTCCTTTTCAAGTCTCGGTGACCACACAACGTTCCCAAACTCTAGGTTTGGGCGCACGACAGAGGTGAACAACAGCTTCATCATTTCTATATCTAGGTACTCGTAGGAGCGTCTGAGCAGCCCAAGCAGTTTATAGGTGAATGATTTAGCTTGCGTTTCAATATGCCTATAAAATTTTAGCTCCTTGTCGACACAAACTCCAAGATCTTTTTCCACGCAAGACTTCTCAATCATAACCCTCTCGTTGCAACCGTGTCTTCTCATGCTGTAAGCTTGCCGTTCATTGTTCTTGCCGAAATGAATGAAGTACTTTACACTTGTCAGCATTGAAAAGCAGCTGCCACGCTGCCTTTATAACCACATTAAATTCTTTTACAACACTGCAACAACTAGTGAATAAATCCTGTTTTAAGTACTCAATAGGTGAAGTTTTTTGGTTTCATTCTCAACTTGAATGAGATAACATGCAATATTACTACTCATTCCGATCCTTCACTATGAAATCAACAGTTATAATATAAGGCAGAGTGAATTGCCAACCGGATAAACGCTCTCGCATCCGCAGTTACCATGCCATTAATAATTGATAGTTTTAGTCCATGAACACTAAGCTCAATAAAGTTACCAATTCTCACTAAACCTTGTTAATTTGTTTTCAATAAAAATTTCGAGTAAATTGAGATATATCTTATTATAATAGGGTCAAAGATGAATGAATTGTAGAGCTTGGGATAGGTTTGATCTTTATGGTTTTCCCAATTTTGAAGGAAATTTTAATGATTTATTCTTCATTAACTTTCGATGATTAATTACTATAATCATGTTAAATTGGCTTTGGCATGAATGGTTTTTAAGACAAAATCTGTTTTTTTTTTCTGAAAATTTATTGCTGATAATCGTCTTTTACAAATGAAAGACCTATTGATATATTTATTGTAGAAAGCGTTGTGTAAGACACTCAAATCTGGAAATAAATTTGGCGTTTATTTTTTATAAAATGCAATTGCTTCGGTTCGGTCCAAGAGTATGTCCTCCTTTGCAAAATCCTATCCGAACTGGCGTTACTCTACTTATAAGCCTCGTTGGTTGTGTAACTTGATGTTATCCACGAGATCAATTTTGGAAGTCGCACTGGGTCCACAGATCGCACACACTAGGGTCCCCCAGTTCACAAAACTCTGTCCTGGGGTTGAAGAAATGGTCGACGTCACATTCATATGGTCCTGCCGGTGGCCCCCCATTTATGTCGCAGAAATAATACCGCGAACAGTTCGTCAAGTCCGGACAAATTCCGAAGCACAAATCTTCGTCGGCACATGGCAGGGGAGGCGCTGGTACACACGATCCTTCTTTTGACACGTACTCTTCATCGGAACAGTCGGTGGACGCCGTAACGAACTGGTCCGTGCATTGGTACCCGATGGTACATTCAGAAGGTACAACTTCGTACACTGGGTCCCGGATGCCGAGGTTCGAGCAGTCCACACAGGTTCCGCTGACACAGGCTGCGGATCCTAGATGGACTCCTGTACACTCGACAATGTCGTATAGTCCGTTTGCGTCACATTTGGCGGTATACGCAGGATTGTAGTCGTCGCAGACGTCAGTGGTGCACTCGCACACCGAGGCGAATGTCGCCGGCACGCACGTAGCTGGTCCAGAATCGACTTCTTCACATACCTGAAAGAGATCTCCCATTAGTGTAAAGTCTATATGAATGTAAACCTTTGAATTAAATATGATAAGGCTCACAAACGTAACATAACCACTTCTGTTTTGAGAAGTATAAGCGGGAATATCAACTCTTTGCCACCGCAGCCGCCAGATGAACATGGAAATAGGCACCAGTTTATTTCTCTTCAGCGTATGCGGTTGCCTATAACATGTCTTGAATCAACTACATTGAACATTTAAAATAGCAAAGTCATCGTTGATTAGGCCGTTAGATTTTTCACCGATTCTTAAAATCACAGAACATTCACAGCTTGCTGCGGTTTCAAACCTTCAACTTACTGCTCCAATATTGCTGTGCTTAACCGCCCACCATCCTTTCCGACTTGACCAAAACTTTTGCAGGTAGCTGTGATCAAACTCACAACTTACTGCCCCTGATATGTAACCACAAGACAACCCAATAACTGACACCACTCACACTGCCTAAGATGCAGCGGGGGAGTTCGATCAGTTCTCCGTCCTCACACATGAAGGGCTGCAGGCAACTGCCACAGTAGTACTCGGTGCGGTTAAAGTGCGCTCCATCGCACAAACCGGGGTCTAGCATCGGGAGACCTCTGCAAAGAGGGAGTAAATTCATCGCAAACGATTTTTGATAATTAAATTGATCTTCATAATGTTATCTTAAAATTATAATTTTATTATCATAAAATTTATCTCGATTTTCATAAATATAAATAAATATAAATGAATATCTCTATGAAGTAAAGAATGAAATGAGATATTTTATGATTTTAGATATGAAATTTGTGAAATTAAGTGCTGAGAGATTAGGCTAATATCTTCGAAAGGATTGACGAAAGGATTAAAAAGATAACTCGAACCTTCCGGCATGAGTGGTGTTAGAAAGTGTTTAATGGAATACGATTTTATATATTTCTCTGCATGGAATTAAATAAAATACGTGACCGTATTCTGGGATATATTTATTGTTTGTAACCATGAAGGTAACTTGGTGCTGGAAAACGTGCAATATAAATGCGCTCATGAATGTGGTGCCTTGGAATGTGTGACATTCAAATGGATTTAAACTTATGCGACCTTTGCTACATGTTTCAATTCTGACCATATTGCTGGACCTCAGATACCATGGGACATCATAGAAGAAAAAGACTATCTCTTATTGAAAAGAAAATTTTTACTAAACAACAAAAAATCTGAGTTCTACACACAATCTTGGATGGATAATATAATAATATTAATATATTATTATATGAATATATAATAATAATTAATAATAATATAATAATAATGAATAATAATTAATATATAATATGAATAATAACTCTTATGAACGTGGAGAAGATGTCTTAATCCCTAATATATTAAATCACCAAAGTTTCTTAATTTATTTTTCTGATAGATATTGTACGAAGAACTTTTATTGAAAAATTTATTGGAAGTCCAATTTAAAAAATATGGAACATTAGATTGTAAAGATTCGTCGTTAGTACGGGGGAAATTTGTTGAATAGATTTAGTCATTTGACAAGAAGTAGACTTTAAGTTATGGCTGTTTTGAAAAATAAACATATTAGGAGTATGGATGAATGGGCGAAATTTAAGTCAAAATATTTGCATTTCTGATGACCAATTTAGCTCACCTGACATTCACCACCAGCGATACCACCAATACCTGTAAAATTTGACTGCTAATTATAATATAGGAAATAAAGTGGGATATAAGAAACTTCTCAAATACTTAAGAAGTAGAATCTGACACGTAGAATAAAGCAGGTTCTCGATATTCTAAGATTTCATATAATTTATCTTGGTTGCAATGAACATAATATTTCAAGATCTCGGCGTAATTAAGGTCACATGCATGCAATTGCAATTTTTCAGGAGAATGAGCAACAACTTCCTTAGTATTTTAGCAAGATTTTGTGAAGTAGGTTTTTGGTATACTAGAGATGTTTAAAAAAATGTAACGAATTCATCAAAGAGCTAAACGGTAAATTTTTTTTAATTTTCATTCGAAGTTGAACTGGCGTTGTACGCTTGCAATACGCAATAAATCTTAAATTTCTGCATATATACTTCATACGAGTACATCATGTGTATAGAACACCCATTAAGGAAAAATCTGTACCACAAATTAGTCATCAATGAGTTACTATGAATAAAAACAGTATTTTATGTGAAAAAGTAAAAAGAATAAATGGGAAAATTATTTTACCAACAGCTTTATGAACATTATCGAGGTAACTCACCAGGACGCTATTTTGTTTCATGGTCACTAATTTCCTTCTGGTCTTCTGAAGCCACAAGAATCTGTCTTATCATAAAAAAATTATTTAGTTAACAAATACAAGCATCAAATCCCAATCAAAGAACGATAAGGGAGAAATTTCCCATAGGTCAGAAGCTAATAGAAAGCTTGCCCCGACATGGATGATGGGGCCCCATCCGTCATATCTTGGAGGAGAGGAGTATATATAGGTTGCATAACACGAGTCGGTATTTAAATAGGGAAGTGCAACTAGACATATAAATAGGTTGCATAACAGTAGTAGGTATTGAAACCCCTACCGAGTGACATGAGTAACCGGAGCAATATTGTCACGCGCCTACTTCCTAAAAAGGATACGTTCTAGTGAGCGCAAAATGACTTGCACTGATGGTTGCCGCCACGTACAACTTTAAAATGTTCACTGTTGCGTACAAACGTCCTCAGGTTGCCAAATTCAATAGTTTAAGTATAACTTAAGTTGAAAGTTATGTTCCCGGAGAATGATATACGGCGGTAGTTGGTTAACTAGGTAAATACAAGGGTAAGTACACTGCTGCGATTTACCACGATGGATATTTGTTTGCAGTGCCTGGTCTTTCGGAAAACTTTCTGGTAAGCTAGACCCGATAAATGCCCATGGGAGAAGTTGAAAACACCTTTGTTTCCTACTGAACAATGTCTACTGATAATAGATAAGTCACCCAATCATGTCTACCGGGTGGTCAGTTAAAATGAGCGAGTCTGCTAAGCGATCTTAGATTGCCGTACGCTAAAAAAATGACTAGGTAATGTTGACCAAATAGTATCGTGCTTTCATTACGTATATCACTGATCTACCCTTTTACAGGGCCACGATGACTCGCCAAGGGCAAACTGAATATAGTATATGCATAATAGTAATATTATGTATATATGTATGTTTCATAATAGTAATATAAACGTAGTAATAGTATATCTTGAGAAGATAGGTTGAAAGATTGAACCAAACACATAATGCAAAAGATTGACACGAGGGAAACGGAAAAAAATTATGGGCAGAATATATTCAGATAATGAACTTGAAGAAACGGAGTAAAATATCAAGAAAACTTATCGCCACTTCTGAAATATTTATTCTCTATATATATTCAGTTATATGTGTCAATATATTGGTACTAGCGGACCTTAATCCCACAGTGTTAACGATCTAATCATAACTGATATGAATGTCACCCTCATCCAAACTCTGGTGCAGCCTTCGTGTAACCTGTTATTTGAATGCAAAAGGACGAGGCACGTACAACCCTCTTCACGTCCCGGCAGGCACTGACCATGTCGGCACAATGCAGGCCTACTTATATAGGCAGCCCCTGACGATCCCTTATTGTGTCGACGTCAGATGCGAATTTGAGGGATAAAAAGATATCACAAGGGATAAAATATTGAAGGTACCGACTTATTAGTCTTATTTGTGAGAAAAAGTTGATCACAAGGGATAAAATAATGAAGGTACCCACATATTAGCATTATTTGCCAAAAAAGTTGAATATTTATAATGGTACGAAGTATTTCTCAACATAAACGTGAATATGTTTAATGTTTATGTGGATGTAAATTGCCTTGCACGCGCGACTTCAGCGCACCATAGCCAAGTGATGGAACACCGTGACCTCGTCAGCCATGCAGACCTCGTCAGCCATGCAGACCTCGTCAGCCATGCAGACCTCGTCAGCCATGCAGACCTCGTCAGCCATGCAGACCTC